GTCTCAGCCGAAGAATACTGCGACGATGCTATGCGCGACGCATTCATAACGGGGCTCTAGTCTCATGTTATTCGTACGAGACTGCTGGAAAAACCATCCCTAAACTTTCAGTCGGCATACGATCTGGCCAGGTTCCCTGAAATTGCCCAAAAGCAATCGCGATCGTGCAAATCAGAGAGCGTTCCGTGTGCGTCGACTAATCCGTTTCCTCCGACCAATTCCGTCATCGACCCTAAACCCGTTCAATCAGCGGCTTCTGAAGAGGCATGCTATTTTCGCGGTTATTAGAAGCACCCTCGTACTAAGTGTCCCGCTAGGGAGGCCGTCTGGAAAAACTGTGGAAAAACAGGACACTTCAAGCGTGTGTGCAAATCTAAACCAACGCATCCATCGATCACATCTACCCTTAGCCCCTTAATGTCCTCCATATTCACTGCGGCTGCTCCCACTTGTTTGCCCCGTGCCACTACCACCACTTTTGTTAATGGTGTTAAACTTCAAGCACTAATAGACACTGGTAGCTCTGACAGTTATGTATCTCATTCTATTGTAAATACCTACGGTTGGAAAGTCTATCCTTGTGACTCTAAAATTACCATGGCCTTCACCTCCTTCTCTTGTACTATCTATCACTGGTTATTGTTCGTGACTATCCGATGCCATGACGCTTCCTACGAAAACATACGACTTGCCGTAATGCGCAATCTGTGTTGATGTTCTACTTGACCATAACTTTTTTGGCTTGCACGATGGAGTAGAAATACCGTTCGGTGGCAAACATGGTCCATTCTTACTCTGAAGCCTTTCCGCCGCCAAAATTGAATCACCTCCATTGTTTGCACATCTATCTACTGACTGTAAACCAATCGCTACCAAATCCAGAAGACATTCAGCTGAAGATGTACCGTTTATTAAGTCTGAAGTGCAACGCCTTCTAAGCGACAGTATCATTGAACCTTCAAACTCCCCGTGGAGGGCTTAAGTCCTTGTTACCAAGAACGCCAACCACAAGAAACGAATGGTTGTTGATTATATCCTGACGATCAATCGCTTCACTCAACTAGATGCTTACCCACTACCCCGCATTGATACCATGGTGGAAGACATGTCACTCTATGCCGTATACAGTACCCTTGATTTGAAAAGTGCTTATCATCAGATTCCCATCAAAGACCACGAGAAACCTTACACTGCATTTGAAGCATGTGGCAATCTTTTTCAGTTCTGCCGAATACCGTTCAGGGTTACTAACAGTGTTGCTTGTTTACAACGCACAATTGACAAAATTTTAAAAGCGGGTCTGAAGAATGCATTCGCATACATAGACAACGTCACCGTATGTGGTTCGACCCCGGAGGACTACGATCGAAATCTCGAACACTTCCAGAAAGCCGTCGCCAAACACAGCATCACTTTGAATGAATCGAAAACTGTAACCGCTCGGAAGGAGATCCAGCTCCTCGGTTATCACATATCACAGGGCCCGACCAAGATCGAATGAAACCCCTGCGTGAAATTCCCCCACCTGCGGACAGCAAGCCCCTACGCCGTGTGAATGGTCTCTTCACTTACTACTCGCAGTGGATACCGTCATTGTCGGACAAAATCAATCCACTAGTTCAGACCAAAATATTCCCTTTACCACCATCCGTCAGAAGCGCAGTTGAGGGACCTAAACAAGACTTGAAAAATGCCATGCTCGTGACCATAGACCATGAGATACCTTTGGTCGTAGAAACAGACGCTTCCGATGTAGCTATAGCAGCATCACTCACCCAAAATAACCGCCTTGCAGCCTTCTTTTCGCGTACTCTGACTTAAAGCGAACGACACCACCCCGCTGACGAAAAGGAAGCCTGTGCTATAGTCCAAGCAACTCGCAAGGGGTGACACTATCTTCTGGGTAGACACTTTAAACTTATCACAGATCAACGTTCGGTAGCCTATATTTTCAATAACAACCACGCTAGTAAAATCAAAAACGACAAAATCCAGAGATGGAAACTTGAGCTTGCGGCTTAAGACTATGATATAGTATACCGACCCGGTAAAAACAACTCTGTCGCGGACGCACTCTCC